AGCATGGCGCTGGGTCCCCAGAGCCTGCACCCCTAAAAGGAGTGAGCCTCAGGCTGCAGAGCCTGCCAGGACCCGGCCTTGGACATCCACGCTGGGACCTGGACATGGGGTGTGGCTTGCTGAGGTGTCCAGGGCCAGTGTGGGGCTGGGCCCCTTGGGGGACAAGACAGTCCCCCCGAGTCCAACTTTTCTTCTCTGTTCTTTCACAAGGACACTGGTTGCTGCACTGGGAGCCCCCTAACACATCCTGGTTCCATCCCAGTCATATTTGCAAAGACCCTCTTTCCACATTGGGCCATACTCACAGGTCCCACGTTAGGACTTGGATGGATGTGTCTGGGGATACAGCCCAGCCCACAGCAGGAATCCTCCAAGTCTCACATGAGCGTGGAGCAACAGACAGTGCCCCCAGGAGGAGCCGACCCAGCCCCTTTCCAGAGCTGAATGTGGTGCTTGCCTCGGTGAGTGGGAAGGGCCGGACCAGCCCAGGTCTCCCACATTAGGCTTGGCGATCCCAGGAGGAAGCGCACACGTCCTCCTGGCCGACTGTGTGGTGGGACCCACTCTCTCTGTCCTGCCTGTTCTATCTCATGCCCTGAGCCCACTGGCCACAGAATGCTGGCAAGACTTGGCAGGTGGGAAGCCCCTCAGCTTTGCTCAGAACCTCGGAGTGTGCACTTGGCAAGGCTGGCACCATTCATGTCCACCAGGCAGGGAGTCCCTGGCCCTGGCTAGAACTGAGGAGCACCATAGTTTGTGCAGAGGAGGCTCAGCCATCAGCCACCCCCTGCTGTGCTGCCTCGGTGAGCCCTGCATCCTCTCTGTGCCCCAGCCCCCACTTCTGTAAATGCCGATGTGCCAGTGCCTTTCCCAAGCATTGAGGATGATTCAGTGGGAAGTGGTGGCCAGCACTCAGCATGTGTGGAAAGCGCCCAGTCAGCATCTGGCATCATGAGCTTATGGGGCACAAGAGACGCTTCAGGCTCCCTGATTTACCCTTGTGCACATGGTGGTGTCAACACCAATGTGCCAGATGGGCATGGAGCCTATAGGGGAAAGTTCTGCCACCAGCGGCTGACCGTGGAAGCGGAATTCCAGAGCTGAGGATGTCATGGTGCGAGGATCCTGCGGGTTCCTGGTGGCCATGTGAACACCCAGGGTTCCTGCCTCCCTGCTCTTGTTGGCCCTGTGGAGACTTGTCCCTATGGCAGGACCCCGCGGGTCAGGGACCGTCTCCTACCACAGCCACTAGTGAGGCACAAAGGGGCCCTGATTGCCCGAAAACGCAGAGCGTGGTTCATCCTCTGGAGGAGAAGGAGCCAGTTTGCCAGGGGTGCTCGTCACAGCTCCAGACCTGGAACTCATGATGAGGCAGAAGGGAAACTGCACAGGAGTGCCTGAGGGCTTGCTGGTTGAGGTTGGAGGGAAGGGGTTTCTGTACACAACAGAGTGGGTAGAGGGAGTGGGGAAGGGGCACAGCCACCTGTTTGCTTCATCCTGAAGCAAACACCCTTGGAGTGGGGTCTGTGGGTCCAGGACATCCAGGTGGGGGGTGGGGAGAGTGGGGTATGGGGGAGCTTCAGGGTGAGGCTGAAGCTGGAGCTGGGAGGATGGATGGGAGCACAGTGGAAAGGGAGGGCTTCAGGGAGGCTCATGGCAGGGGCCACTGCACATCCCACATCGGGTGGGTGCCAGGCTGGAAGGAGCACCTTTCCAGAAGGACAAGAGCTCAGCTGTGTGCTCAGCATAGGTTCCTTCACTGGGGGATGGGGGTATAAGCCACAGAGAGGTCCAACCCCCAGTCTCAGCCATGGCCATAGCGTGGAACTAGCAAAGGCTATTTGGGAGGGCTTCCCAAGCTTGTCTCTTAATACGGGGATATAGTCTGCCCACCTTGCCGTGGGGGAGAGGTGTCCTGGTCCCGACTTGCCCCTGGAAACAGCTGGATCTCCAGGAAAGCAGCAGCTGGCCTGCCTGTGCCTGCAGGTGAGGCCTGGGGGCCACAGCACCCAAGCATCTCAACTTCAGGGCCTGGCACTGCGTGGCCTGTCCCCTTTGTGGGATAGTGGCCTACAAGGAGGGGACTGTTGGGCCAGGCCTGGGAGGGAGAAACCAAGACCAGGAGGTGAAGTTGATCTCCAGTTCATGCCTTTGCATGGTGGAATGCTCTGTGCATGCAGAGACAGTGTGCAGAAGCCCTGCTGCTGCTGCTTCTGACTGCCCTAGGTCATGGGACCGCAGTCACTATGCCTTCCTGTCCCTTCCTTGGCATGGGAGGTTCTATGACCTGAAGTGTTCTCAGCTGGTCCCCCTTTGGGGCTGTGATACCTCACAAACAATACCACTGTCTGCACCCCTACTGTGGCAGAAACCCCCATGGACTATCTTTTCTGTGGATACCTGACTCTGCCAGGGACAGAGATGGAGCACTTGGGCCGCACCATCCAGGGACTCGGGAAGGGTCTGTACACATATAGTGCCATGTCAGGGACCACACGGGATATGGCACTTTACAGGACTTGTAGCAGCCAAGGTGGTACTATTGGGGCCTGAGGGGGTATGGGAAGGAGGAGTCTCCAGGCCAGGGCCAGCAGAACTGTGGTCCTCTGGAGGCAGCCCTGGCACAAGGGCTGGGAGCCAGGCCTGTTTCTCCTCCCTTTGTCTTTCTCCCTTCTCCTGCTGGACTCCCTATTGGCCAATCGGAGCAGGGAGGAATGTGGAGAGAGGGTCTGCAGCGGTGGGGGGGGCACCTTGGACCCACTGTCAGCAGGACCTCACTCCTGAGGACCAACCAGCTGGATGGGTGTCATGCTGTATAAGGTTCCCTGGAAGACACAGACCTGACCTCCCTGGGTCACAGGGCAATGACCTCGCCCCTCCAGGGCTAGCTCCCAAGCATCCAGGCTCTATGGGAAAAGCTGCCTGTGTCCATCTGTCCCACCTGGTGGATGCATGGGGCCGGATGGTCTCTCTGGAGGGCACAAGAGGCTGCAGCCCTTCGATGGGGACCTCTTTAGCTGCCCTGGGATGTCAGGATGCTTTTAGCTATTGAGTCACAGCCAAGCCGTTCTGTGTTTGGCCGCTGCGTGTGTTGCCTATCAGCCCTGTTGTAAGTTGTTTTTTGTTTTTGTTTTTGTTTTTGAGTTGGAGTCTCACTCTGTCGCCCAGACTGGAGTGCAGTGGCTGCTCCCGGCCACCGCAGCCTTGACCTGCTGGGCTCCGGTGATCCTTCTGCTTCAGCCTTTCGAGTAGCCAGAATTACAGGCGTGCGCTACCACGCCCGGCTAATTTTTTTGATTTATTGTAGAGATGAGGTCTCGCCTGCCCAGGCGGGTCTCGAACCCGCGGGCTCAGGCAATCCACTCACCTCAGCCTCCCAAAGGCGCGGGATTATAGGCTGAGCCACCGAGCCCGGCATAAGTTGTTTTTTTTTAAAGATGGTGGAGCCTGGTAGGGAATAGCCATGCTCTGGGAGCCATCCTGTGGCGACTGGAGCCCTATACCTGCAGTGGCCCAGGGGCCTGTGCCGGGAAGGGATATGGGGTTAAGTGGCCTGGTCTCTCTCTGAGCACCTTCCACCGATCCTGGCTGGGAGCCTCTGCCCACCTGACCCCCGAGCCCACTATCTGGCCCAGAACCCCCTACTAGGCCTCAGGGCTTTCCTGCACTCTACCTGGCTCCATACTCCTTTAGTCACAGAGGCCTGCAGATGGCTACTCCAGAGAGGGGGAGGGTTGCTGGTCCCTGTTGGGTTATGGGAAAGAGGTGGAGGGCTGGCCTGGTGGGAGGGTCAGCCAGGCTCATCTAGGCTGGGGCTGGGTGTCCTCACCCTGCCGTACCAACACAGGCTGTCTTGGTCCTAACGTCTGTTATCCTCACCCACCTGCCCTTGCTGAGCAGGGTAGGAGGAGGCAGAGACACCTCCAGAGAGCTGAGGAGCCTACAGATTCACTCTCCCGCTCCATTTATAGAGGAAGAAACTGAGGCCCAGGAGAGGCGAGGTTTCAGTGTTCAGGGATCCACCAGGAGTGCCCTCCACTCCACATCCCCAGCAGTGCTCCCGCAGACTGGTCTAGTCATCCTCCCCCAGGCTGTCCTCACCCCCTCCCGCCCCCGCCATCTTCACCTCTGGCCGTCCTCACCCCAGCCGTCCTCATTGCCTGCCATCCTCACCCTGGCCTCTTGGTGTCTTCTAGCTGGTGGGCTTTGTGTACAGCTGCTACATGGTCAGCACATGGACAGAGGAAGAGGACAGCTATAAGTGTGGGTCCGCCGTGCCTCAGCCAAGGCCTGCCAGACACATCCAGTTGCAGACAGAGGGGGGAAGCAGACGCAGCCATGGAGGATGCATCTCCATGGTTCATGTTGGGTAGGGCCTGAGACCTCCCCATGTGTTGGTATTCTGTGTCCAGTAGGGTCCCTGCCACTGCTCTAGCCTGGGAAGACATGAGGGGGGTCCTGGCTTATGAACCTCAGGGCTCAACTTACCCCCAAGACTGAGAGCTGCTGGTTTCTCGGGCTGAGCCTGCCCTCACAGCCTCCAAGGTCTCACAACTTCCAGAACTGAGGCTCTGGTTCTCCAGGACTAGGCTGGCACACATGACCCTCAAGGCCCTCATGACCCCCGGCACTGAGGATTTCTGTCCTCCAAGGCCCAGCTGCCCTCATGACCCCTACAGTTGCTGCAGGTGGGAGGTCTGAGCCCCAAATCGACCGAGACACGGGCCATTCCAGTCTCCTGGTGGCCATGATGTCCACCCCAGGCCCTTGGGCTCACCCATACCCATCTCAGCAGCATTTTCATTTCCCTTCGCACAAAAGCCCCTGTCAGTTCTTGCTTTGTGATATGCAGGAGTCAGCGCTTGGGCACCTCGTTGGATCCCGGGCCCTGCCATAGTCTCAGGGGAGGCAGAAACCAGGCAGGATCTGGGCATGCCTGGGGTTCACTGCTTGTGTGGACAGAACCTTTCCTGGGGTCGGAATTGGAATTCCCCCCATCCCTAGGAATCCGGCGGCCACAGGATTCCACGTGTGTGCATGGCATCCTGCACCCAGCTCACTCTGCTGATGTGGCCTTTGCCATAACCTGCCCCATACCCAATCCTAGTCTGGAGTCAGAATAGGTGACTGGTGGTTCTTATCTTGGTAAAGCTGTACCTCCCAGGTCACCCAAGCCCCCAGGGACTCGTGCTGGCCTGTCTCTCACAGCCCTTGCCCTCCCACTGTGACCGTGAAGCCCATTCAGCAAGGGCTATCTATGGTAGCAGGAGCCCAGCTTCTGGGACAAAGAACCAGGGAACAAAGACCTTGCGGGGGGAGGGTGGGGGGTGTGGATCTCACGCAGGCCCCAAGCCAGGGATCCTGGCACATGACTGGGTTTAGCAGAACTTTCCACACTGGACAGATCTCAGGGAATTTTACCCCAGCTGGGGAGCCCGGGTGAGCCCTACTCCATTTGAGCCCTGCTGAGACCGTCGCTGAGATGTCAGCACACAGGGAGGAGGCACCTGCGACCCCTGCCACTTTGTCAGAGGCCCCAGACCCATTCCTTCTTGGGCTTTATTCCATTTGCATTTCAAGTTTTCCAGGAGACAGAACAGTACCCCCACCGGCACACAGCCCTCCCTTCCAGGCCCAGAAGTGGCTCCTTGGGTGCCCTGACCCCATGTTGCCCCCACAGGCCTGCATAAGTGAGGAAGCAGTGGATCGGCTTCTGTGGCCTCCAGATTCAGTGACCACCAAAGACCATGGCAGGAGCCCCCGAGCCTTGGGATGCCCCCAGCTTCCCTGCCTCCCACCTGGCACCCTAAGATGCTGGCAACACCTGTCCCACCTTCAGTGCTCAGATACCAGCTAGGTTGCAGGATACGGCCAGGGTTCAGGGCAAGACCTGGGCCATCTTCAAGGGTTAAGAAAGACTTTGTAGTTTCCTTTCTCCAAGAAAAATAGATAAGACATGAAAGGTAGAGAACTCACTCAGTCACCTCTGGCAGTACTGGAATGACAGACCTGTCCACAGTCGCTTGGGACTGCCAACGAGGAGACCCTCAGGAGTCTGTCTAGGGCCAGCTGACCCTGGGGCTGCACACACTGCTGCTGGGGGATGTGGGGGGGACAGTGTTGCCCCTCCAAGAGGTCAGCGTGAGTCCACTGTGCCCCCTTGAGCTTCTAGGGCCAAGTGGAAACCATGGACACACCAGACAGAGCCCCCCCATCCCAGGAGCTGAGGCTGATGGAGACCCAGGGTAGGGGCTGAGATGACCAGAAACCCTGGAGCCCAGGCCCTGTAGCACAGAGTGCTGGGTGGTGATGAGTGGGTGGCATCATTCATAAAGAGAGGTCTTGGGCAGATGGTCCCAGAGACCAACCCCCAGCAATCATGAAGTTGGTCAATAAACAGGAACATGGATCCAGCCCACCCTTCTACAGATACTGCACTAGGGTCATTGGGGTCTAATCTTGGGAGGGCCTGGGTTCATGCTGGGGTCTTTAAAGCACTGGGAGGATTAGAACACGAGATGGAAAATGAGGGGTGGGAAGAGGCGTCCTCAAGAGCAGGATGCCTTTGGGATGTGCCCTGGGTGGGGCAAGTGGGTGGACAGTGGCCAGAGTCTGAAACGACTGCTGAACACTCTTGGGAAACCCACTTTATTTATAATCAGAAGCACTGAACGTAGACCTGGTAGAGCCTCCCTACACCAAGCAGGCTGCCTGCTCCATCCTGGGCTGCAGCTGGGAGTTGGGCTGATCAGTGGTGGGTGGACAGCAGCGGCCCACCCAGCAGCCCACCTGGTCACCTGCAGTGCCTGGAGGGAGAAAAAGGGAGGGGTCAGTTTCTCCCCAAGGGCTTGTGCTCCAAGCGGGGCACTCAGGCCCCAGGGAGCTCCCTGCCATTTTATTGCCCCCCTCCCAAGGCTCTCACATCTTGAGGGTAGCTGCAGAAACCTTGAAAGTCCATGGCAGTCCCTGCTCTCCTGTTGGTCGAGGAGTCTGGGGGTGTCCCCTGACTTCTCTAACCATGCTTCATACCCACCTGTGCATTCCCACCAGGCCCTGGCTCCCTGGTGGAGATGGGTCCAAGGCTCATTCCCGCTAGCTGAAACTCAACCCAGCCCATCCCCTCATGCCTTCAGAGCCACCCTCTCTGGCTGACTGCTGCCATGTGCCTGGCTGGAGAAACACCTTGTCCCCCTTGACCATTGAGGAAAGTTGGGGCAGAGGCGAGTCCAGCAGGTATCATTCAATGTGTCCAAACAGTGGAGGTGGCCGCCCAAGGTGCCATGTTGGGAAAGATTGGGTGAGTGTCTGGGCATCAGGAGAAGGCAAGGTTGACAAGGTGCTGTCAGTCAGTGGGGCAAGAGGATAGGCTGCCACCACCTCCCAGGAGTGTTGCACCCCAGTCAGGAGGGCGGGCCTGGCTGCTCTGGAGGCCTGGTAGCGGGTGGCTTGGGTGCTCACCTCACTTAGGACAGGAAGGTGCGCACACGGCTGCGGACAGGGGCCCGGCAGATGGGGCACAGCTGCAGGCTGGGAGCACACTCGGCACAGACCAGGTGACCGCAGGGCACGAAGACGACGCTCACAGCATGATCCAGGCACACCTTGCAAGTCCGTTCCTCCCTCAGCCTCCGCAGCTGCTCTTCCGCATCCCCGATTCCTGGGGGCTCAAGAAGCCACCGTACCCTCTGGGCCTGGGCTCAGCTGGCCTCACCAAGGATGGGCCTGTGATGTGTCCCCACCCTGGCTCCACCCTCTGCCCCACTGGGTGCCATCTGTCCCCCCACCCCAGCAGGTCCTGGGGCTGCACCTGGCTCCTGGGCGCCTTCAGACTGGCCCTCTCTTCTGGGTGTCAGCAGCTCAGGGTCCCCATGGGTGGGAGCTGTGAGCAGGTAGGGTAGACTTGAGGCCTAGCCCTGAGGTGAAAGCCAGGCCCTGCCCAGAGACTGGGTGGTGGCCTCTGAGGTCGGGTTCTGATCTGGAAGGGTCAGGCTGTGACTGCAGGGGCCCTGCCCAGACACTTGTCTTCCCTCCCCTCCCACAGCACAGGACTTCAGCGGTTTCCTTGAGGGACCATTAATGCACTGCCCTCAGCCAGGGCGCCCTGCTCATTCACCCCTTGGGCAGTGGCCATAGACGCTGTGTGCTGGACACCATGGGGGTGGTGAGGCCGGGCAATGACTGTGCCCAGAGTTGGGGTTCCAGAGAATTGAGTTGGGAGGCAAGTGGGGGTGGGGGATGGGAGTGGCCCCTCTGGCCCTGCTGCCCCTCCCCTGCCCACAGTGGGCATGGCCTCTCATGAGGCCAACCCAGGTAGCAGCCTCACACCCCCAGGCAGTCTTGCCCTCCTGCTGCCAGGCAGGGTGGGGATACCCAGAGGCCTCTGCTGTGGCACAATCTGCAGGTGCCCCAGAAATGCCACACAAGTGGCTCTCACCGGAGGGGGCGGTAGGGGCTGCATCTTCTGCTTCTTCCCATGGGTCCTGGAAGGGGCCAGAGAGTACCTATCCTTGAGTACACAGAAGTGGGTTCCTAGCTTTCCGGCCCCAGAACCCCGAGGAGAGGCAGCACCCACCCAGAGGCCAAGCAGGTGGGCATGAGTTTCCTGGACGCTGTGCACAAAGTCTCTTCCTTTTGCCTGGAGCAAGAATTGGCACCTGCAGAAAGTGGGTGTAGAAGTCCCGCGGCTCATGGGCTGGGTTGTCTGTGCCCCCACTGTCAAGTTCAAGCCCTTGGGACCTGGGCAGGAGTTGTGCCTCTTGCCTCCCCCCCACAATGCCCTGGGCAGCCCCTGCTGGGAAGGCTGCTCTGGTGATGGGCATCAGGGAGGGGTTGGGGACACGCGTGCCTGCACCACAGTGCTCCCAAAGGACTCCTGTGGGGAAAGCTGGTATCCCTGATATCCTGGGACAGTGGGGCTGGGGGTGACTGGACAGAGTCCTTCAGGGCCCATCCAAGCCCAACCCCATGCCCAGGCCTGGGAGCCACCCACAGCTGTTACCTGGGGAACCACCTGGCATGCTCGGTCCAGGGGTCATCCCCTTGCTTCCAGCTCTGCAGACCTCCGTAGCAGAAGAAGCACCTCACCTTGTCCTGCTGGCCTGGGGTATGGCAGAGATGTGGGTCCCAGTTGGCTCCTGTCCAGCCCCACAGCTGTCCCCCAAGTCAGAACTTCAGATAGGGGGTGTGTTCCAAGGTGACAGCAGGGAGAAAGGGGCAGGTGGGACCATATTCAGAGGCTCACAAGTCGTTTCTTGTGTCAAAGATGACACAGGGATAATGTCTGGGTGCTCGCCAGGATGGCCAGGAATGTTCCAGAAACCACTGAGCTGACACATTGTCCACCAAGCTGGGTGAGGGAGGGGGTGGGGACATCTGTAGCCCTGGGGGACAGGGCCCCAGGTCTCCACCTCCCTTGGTTGGATTCCCAGTGAGGAAGAAAGGGGGCTGCCTTCAATGCTGATCTGGTGCCAAGCTTGGTTTTAGGGGCTTGTGCCTCCTTTTGGAGGTGGAGCATCATTCTGGACCTCCCTGGAGGCCTGCCCCCCTCACTATGAGCTGAGCTCATAGGTGAGGTCAGCTACAGGCACATCCCAACACCTGACTGCTAAGGGCCCCTCCCTGGGGCCCCTGTGCCTCCTGCCCACCTTGGTCTGCTGAGCCTCGGACCTCCAGGGAGGCAGGTGAGCTGGGCCCGCCCCTTGCCAGGTGACTCCCAACTGTCCCAGCATCTAACCCTCCCCCTCAGTGTCCAGTTGTCATATGTGGCCCAGCCTCTTCCCAGGACAGCACCTGGGAAGGTGAGGACGAGCCCACCAGTGACAATGACCACAATGTGCCTGCGCTTACAAAGCAAGTCCTGCTGCCCCAACCCTCAGTCAGGAAGGGGCAGAGCTGGGACTTGAACACATAGCCCCCAGTTGTAGGGCCCCTGCAGGCCAAAGCCGAGCCTACTGAAAGCAGCCCAGAGGAGCCCAGAGACGTTTCCATGGGCTGCACATCAGGACTTGGGGCCAGTCACCACCTGCATTGGTCACCCTGTGATTCTGTCTCTGAAATCTCTACTGGCTCTGGGGATACAGACATGGGGTGACAGGGAAGGCTCTGGGCAGTGGTGGCCCCAGGAGGGACCTGAGGCAACTGGGTGGGGGGATGCCTGCAGGACCAGGCTGGCAGCCTCCACAGCCGATATGCCCCACCGTGGCCAAGGTGAGCCCCTCCCCTGTGAACCACAGTCTGAGCATTCAGCCAGCAGAGACTGGGAGTGGGGCAGGCTTGAGGACATGCTAGAGAGGGGCTGCAGAACCACCACCCCGTTCATGGGACCAGCCCCTCCCTGTTGTGGGGGATGGGCACTATGCAGCAGGTAAAGCCCTGGACTGGATGGATCCAGAATAGTGCCCAGGGCAGCAGCAGGGGCCCTGGGACCTACCTGTGTGAAAGAAGCCGGCAGCAGCCAGCAGCTCAGGCTGTACACCCGCTGTCAGGGGCCAGTTGCAGAAGGAGGCCAGTCGCAGCTCCTCAGAGCCCATGCTGGGGAAGGCAGGCCCCCCGGGCCAGGCTGCCCCAGCCCCCTCTTCTTCTTCCTCCTCTGCCAGGGGGCGCAGCTGGCCCAGGATCTGCCCATCCACGTGGTCCTGGCCTCCTGGGCGGTCCTGGTCCTGGACATGGCCGTGCAGAAAGTGGGTTCTGCTGTACTCTGGCGCGGGACCCTCCCCAGCTGCCCCGCAGCTCAGGTCTGGGCCTTGGTGCAAATGTTTGGCCCTGTCTTCAGGCCCCATGGAGGTCACACCAGCTCCAACCAGATCTACGGTAGGGATCTCACACCAGGCGGCTGGTCCTGGAATATGTCCAGCCGGCCCGTCTCAGGGTGCCTGACCCCAGGCCTCCCTGGGGACAGTGAGGCAGGCACGGGCCTGCCACCAGTGCCCCGGGCAGGGGAGCATCTGGGGCCTGCTGCTTTCTGGAAGAGGCCAGGGTAGCCGTGGGGGTCACATGGTCTCTGCAGTGAGGGCGTGTCATGAGGCCCCCTGGCAGGGCCTCAGTGAGGCCAGCCCTGTTCCACTCCCTGGGGTAGATGATGGCACCTAGAACAAGGGGGACTGGGTGGCGTATGGAGACTCCCCAGGCACCTTCCAGAGGGATGGTGCTGGCCCAGGACCTGGAGGAGGAGGGTGGGGCTGCAGGGGATGTCTCCAGTGGGCCTGGCCAGATTGGATGCCTGTCAAAGCCTCCCGAAACTGATCATTAATGCTCAAGTAAACACAGATGAGCTATGCCTGTTGGCAGGGGAGGAGAATCCACACCCGGCTGGGATGGCTCTGGCTGCTCAGGTGCCTGGTGCTGTGTCAGGGGCCGACCCAGCAGGCTGGCAGACAAGCAGGGAGACAAGTTGCCTGGTATCCTCCTCTAAAACACCTCTCTGCCCCATGGGCCTCCACAGGTCCAGAGAAGACTGACTCCCATCCTCAGACCATGAAGAATCAGAAGACAGATGGGCCTGGTCTGTCCTGGGGAGGGAGCCAGGCCTGAGTTCAACCCCCTCCCTTCCCCCCACCCCCTCCCTGTCTCCTACCCCCATCTCTCCTCTTCCTCTTCCCTCCCCTATCCCCATCTGCCTTGGCCAAAGGGATCACAGGCTGACAGGGGAGGATTAAACTTTTAGGCACATAAACCAGTTCCCCTGTAGCTAGGCAGGGGAGAGTGTTCCTGCTTGTGCCAGGGGTCCTAGCACATGTTGTGAACAGGGGCGTTGGGTGCACCCTTTCCCATCTCTCTCCTGCTTGAGAGAGCTCTCAGCGTCCCTGCTGGAAGCAGCTGACTGCCCCCTCCTTTCCTGTGTGGTGTCCCCCTGCAACCCAGAGTCCTCCTGGTGCAGGAGCCTCCTCTACCTGTGGCCACAGAACTAGGACTCCAGCTGGCTGCAGGGCCCTGGGCACCCTTGTCAGAGGCCTGTAAGTGGAGCTTCGGGCTTTGAGGTTGCAAGAGCATGATGTAGACCAGTGGTCTCCAACCCTTTTGGCCTCAGGGGCCGGTTTCATGGAAGACGATATTTCCATGGATAGGGGTAGGGGATGGCTTCAGGATGATTCAAGCACATAACATTTATTGTGTACTTTATTTCTATTATTATTACACTGGAATATATAATGAAGTAATTGTACAGCTCACCATTAAAAAAAAAGGCACGAGTGGAAGTGCCACGTGCAGACTAAGATAAGTTCTGGGTTCTGGCGTAAAGCCTGCCCCCAGATGCAGCTGCCCAGTTGAAATGCATTGAGTCACCTGCCACTCACCAGAAGGGTTTTGAGGAGTCTGCAAGCAATTGGTTTATTATGGTCTCTGTGCAGTCACACTTTACTGCTAATGTTCATCTGTATTTTCAGTCACTCCTCAGCATTAGCATCACCACCTCTGCTCCACCACAGATTATCAGGCATTAGATTCTCATAAGGAGTGCACACATGTGCGGTTCACATTAGAGTTCATGCTTCTATGAGAATCTAATGCCACCGTTGATCTGACAGCAGGTGGAGCTCAGGTGGTATTGCAAGCGATGGGGAGTGGCTGTAAATTCAGATGAAGCTTTGCTCGCTTACTGGCCACTCACCTCTGCTGTGTTGCCCAGCTCCTAACAGGCCATGCTGGTCCATGGCCCAGGGATTGGGGACCCCTGATGTAGATGGAGGGGGCAGGTGGGGGCCAGGACACAAGTGCTGTGCCAGCAGCCTCCAGTGCTGGAACCCCAGAATCCCAGTGTCCTCCCTGTCTGCCTGAACTCCCTTTGTGATCTTACTTGGACCCGGTGCCACCATCTGAAGTCCACAAAGCCTTATAGCCACAGCACCACCCCCCACCACCAGGCACTTGGGGGAGAAGCATGCCAGGCAGGATGTGTGTTCACATTCAGGCTCCAAAGGTTCATGCCTTGGAGCCTGGAAGGAACCACGCCTGGAGAGTGCCATGAAGACTTTTGGAAAGGACAGAGCAAGAGAGAGAGAAGGCAGGGAGAGAAGAAGGGGGGGAGGGAAAGGAGGAAGGGAAGGGGGAGGAAAGGAAGGGAGGGAGGGGAGGAGGGAAAGGAGGGAGGGAAGGAGGAAGGAGGGAAGGGAGGGAGGAGAGGAGAGGGAGGAAGAAGGAGGGAGGGGAGGGGAGGAAGGAGAAAGAGGAATGGGAGGAGGGAAGGAAGGGAGGGGAGTAGGGAAGGAGAAGGGGGAGCGTGTGAGGAGAGCACAGTATCTTGCTCTGTCCCTGTAGAACACAGGTGATGTCCCTGTGCAATTCCTTCCCCGAGCCTGGGTTGCACTCTCTGGAGCAAATCCCCAAAGAAAGATAGTGTAAGGGCTTCGCTGGGGGGGGTCTCCCTAGGCAGCACTAGGAAGGAGTGGCTGTGTTCCTGAGGGCCACTGTCCTGAGCACCCTGCTTCCCAGGGGCTCTCCAGGTGTCCTGTCAAGAGCCAAGCGTCTGGCTGGAGTCCCGGGCTCTGGGCCTCAGGCTGAGGCCACTGGGCACTGTGGCTCCTGGTTAGGGCCAGAGTGCCATGGGCAGAGTTGCAAGAGGCCAGCAGGGGGCGCACAGAGAAGGTGAGCACTTGGCCAGGACTGCCTGCCAGGGCTGCCTTACCCGGCTTGCTGGACTGGGCTGGGCTGGACTCCAAGGTGGGGCACCGTTTGAATGTAGCTGTCTGTACCATGCCTTGGTGGCTGCAGTCTGACTGGGGTCTACTTATTCTCTGGGCATGCTTGTCCTGGCCTGGGCTGGGAGACAGCGTCATCTGGAAGCCCATTCAGTCCCGCTGAGTTGGGCCCTTCCTGCCCCTTCCCACGCCTCTGTCCCCCATGGAGCTGAGCTGGGGGGTGGCCTGAGACTAGGGATGGACAGAAGTCCTCCTTGCTGGGGAGGAAGGGCAGGAGCAGTGGCCCTCTGTTCCCATAGTCCTGCAGGCTCCAAACGTCCACTGGCCAGCCCTGTTGTCTATGTCCTTCTGGGCATCGTTTGGAAACACGAGAGGGCCCATCTCTGGCCCCAGATCCCAGTCTGGGCATCCAGGAGACTGCTGGTCTCAACTTCAGGAAGGGCAGGATCAGGGATCTTGGGCCACATGGAGGTGCTGGAAGTAAGAGGCTACAGGGCACAGATTCCACCTTGCACTCCGCAACTCTAGGTGAGGCTTAAGGAGTGAGTGGATGGTAGGGGCTGGCAAACCTCTCAAGTGTCAGGGTCTTAGCCTCACCTGGAAAGGGTGGCCTCACTGGGGAGGGCGGGCTGGCCTGGAGGAATGTCACCAATTCCACCCCTGGGGACTTGGGTTCCTCTGGTCTGGGGGTTGGCATGGGTGTTAAATGGAGCCCCCGGAGGAGTGAAGGACCAGTCTTGAACATCACTGCCTGGGGTCTGAGCTTGCGTGTCCAAGACAGTCACCACATTTGAACGTGATCAAGAGTAAATAAAACTGAACATGCAGTTTCTCAATTTCAAATGCTCAACAACTGACGTGGCTGTTTGCCACCTACTGGACAGCACAGCCCAGAACTTATGGAAACCCAGCAGGTAAGGCCCACTACACTCTGAGGGAGGGGTGAGGCCCTCGGCATCCCCTGCCTCCTGCCTGGGGAAATAGAGGCAGGTAGATGGGGAGCCAGGAGGCCACTGAGCCCTGAGGGGTCTAACTCCTGGTTCAGAGCTCCCTCTACTGGACATAAGGGAGGTGACAGCACAGGAGTGATGGGGCCTCGGAGCCCTGGACGCAGGCCCTGCAGACAATGACCAGGGTGGTCCCACCTTCCCAAGTGAGCATGAGACTCGGGGAGCAGTGGGGAGGGGTTGTGGGTGGGAGGGGGTGAAGCCCAGAGAGGTTTCTGAGGGGAGGGGGGCTGTGGGACAGGGCAAGGGACTGCAGGGGCAGGCACATACACTCAATGACATAAGTGTGCCCTGGACATGGTCCCAAGCAGGGAGTTGGAGCCTGGGGAGAAGTCCTGGGGGTGGCCAACTCAGACGTCCCTTCCCCTCAGGCTCTGGCACGCAGGTCATGCTGAGGCCCTGGGCGAAGGGTCCTCTGCCTGCTGACCACACCTTGCAGCCCTGCACAACAAATGTCTCATACAACCTTCCTTGGGGCAGTCCTTGGGACTGGTTCAGACCAGATGGACCGCCTGCACCAAGGCTCAAGACTATAGGTCATATCCAGTTCATGAGACCACTAAAACCCCACCCTCAGTGGTAAATCCCAGCTATCCTGTATCTATGAGACGTGTGTAAGCGAGAGCTATCCTTGCCCTTGGCTGGCTGAACCGGTCCACCATCCTTGAGATGCTGTTGACCCCTGCGCCCTCAACATGGAATATGGCCCCCTTCCGCCCAGTGCCACTCCTGCCCCACGACCCTGCATTTCCTGAATAAAGCCCCTGTCTGGTTTGTTGTCTCCGGGTCATTTCTTTGGCCTCTCCAACACAGGGCCTTCCATTTTGGGGTTTTGAGGGGTCTGGAACAACAAGCAGGAGGGGGCACAGCATGAGGGGATCGGTGTGGAGTGGGTGAGCTGGGAGAGGATGAGAGGCCTGCCTGAAGTTAGACAGCCAGGTGGTGTGGGGTCCTTGTCTGTCGTTGGGGGCACAGGCTGGGCAATGACCAACACGGTCTCAAGACTGCTGGGCCACCCAGAGACATCACCAAAGCCTTGTGACCCCCTGTTTCCGCTCAGGACACAAGGAGCAATCTGTTCCTATGAGGGAGAACAGCTGGCCCTGAAACCTCCATGCTGGGTGGCCTCTCTTTCCTGGGCCAGGAGCTTGGAGGGGTGAAGGGATGAGCCTCAGTTCGTCGGGCAGCAGATGTGGCCCTGGTGGTTACAGGAGACTCAGCTCCTGGCTTCCAGGGGAATTGTCCCAGGTCCCCACCAAGTTAAAGCCTTCCACCTGGGGCTGGCCTGAGGCCCTGCCTTCCCTGCTGGTGTGCTGCCTGTTCTCTGTCGCCCCAGACCTCTGCTGTCCCTGCTCTGGGCAATCCTCCCCCACTATCTGCATTTCCGGGCCAGCAGGGAGGTAGTGGGGTGGGTCTGGGTGGCAGCTGTTAGATCTCGCTGGCCAATTCCCAGGTCGCCAGACTTCTGGGCAATGATGGCACCTTCTCAGGCCTCACACTGTGGGGGCTGCACCTTTGGTCCACACTTGTGAGTGGCCCCCACTCGGTCCCAAGACACCCCCCCAATCTTTCTGTTGGTGTCACTGCTAGACCTCACCAGTGACCCTGCAGTGGCTGAAGTGTGTCCTCAAAATTCATGCCACTCAGTATGGTGAAGGTGACATTATTTGGAGATAGTCTTTACAGATGTAATTACCCTTTTTTTTTTTTTTTTTAAGAGACAAGGTCTTGCTCTGTTGCCCAGGCTGGAGGGCTCCCATGCCATCCATAGCTCATGGCAGCCTCAACCTCCTGGGCTCAGGTGATTCTCCTGCATAGGCCTCCTGAGCAGCTGAGACTAGAGGCACACGTCACCATGCCCAGCCAACTTTTAAATTTTCTAGAGACAGGGTCTCTCTGTAATTATGATCGTGTGTGGCAGCTCACACCTATAATCCCAGCTGGGAGGCCCAGGTGAGAGGACTGCCTGTGTCCATGGGTTCGAGACCAGCCTGGGCAACTTGGCGAGACCTCATCTCTACAATAAATTAAAACAAAAATTTTGTTCTGTATTGCCCTGGCTGGTCTCAAACTCCTTGTTTGAAACAATCCTGCCTCAGCTTCCCAAAGTGCTGGGATTCCAGGTATGAGCTGCCACACACGGCCATAATTACATTAGGATGAGGTTATCCTGGATCAGGGTGAGCCCTGGATCCAATGATGTCTGTCCTCATAAGAAGAGACTCAGAAAGACAAAAGAGGAAAAGGCCAAGAGACGAGGTGGAGATAGGAAGCTGAGGAAGGCTTGCTGGCTAACCCCAGAGGCTGAAGGAGGTGAAAAGACCCTCCCCTAGGGCCCTGGAAGGAGCCCGTGTCTCCATTTCAGCCCAGAAATGCTGCTTTCAGACTTCTGGCCTCCCCTAATGGGAGAGAATACGTTTCTGTGTTTTTAAGCCACCCAATTTGTGGTACTTTGCTAAAACACCCCTAGGGTCCTGCACTGTCACTGCTGAGTCATCCAAGAGGTCACCTAAGCTCTGAGTGGCCACTTCCTGCAGTGCCAATGTGGCCTCCGATGGCTGCTGGGACACTTGTGAGTGAAGGCAGCAGTAAGAGTTGGCATTTCCAGATCCCTGGCGGGTGCCGGGATCTACACATACAACTATGCTTCATACAGCACAGGAGGGAAGGCCTGAGGGCTGTGTGGCCCTGAACCCCAGTGGCAACCACTGCACCGTCCTGCCTGAGGGACATGAGCTAGGAAGAGGGCAGAAGCTCCAAAAGGTCCGAGTGTCCCCTCTGACCACCCAGACACTCCCTTGCCATGGTCACGGCTGCCCTGCTGTTCGGGGCTCGGGGAAGCAGGCCCACAGCCCTCTCACCACGGAGGCAGGTGGCAGGGCTGCAATAGGCACATATGAGCTCTGCCCCTCAGCAGCCCCACTGGCCCCTCCAATCCCACACCCTTTCCCCATGTCTGCCACCGTTGGACATGTGCTGTTCATTACTGGATCTACACCAAATGTGTGGGCTTCATCTTGGCATGAGCCGCCCATGGCCCAAGCATCTCAAAGTCCCAGTGGACCCAGATTTGTGTTTGAGGTTCCTAGCTCTGTGGAGGGGAAACAGGACCGGACTTTGGCCAGGCAGGCCCCGGGGAGACCTGATGATGAGCAAATCGGAGCAGCAGCCCTTCCGGAGGCTGAGTGGTCCCTGGTACAGTTTTCATTTCCTTCCTGTGGCAGTGAGAGAGCTGTCAGTGTTCTGCTGTCTGGGCCGCCAGGCTTGGAGCCTGTCTTGGGAGTCCGCTGTGGTCCCTGAGGTCCCAGTTCACTCTGCTTAGCGCATCTGCCTGGGGCCCCTTTGAGAATGCTCCTGTTGCCTGCCTGCCTGACACCTGTCCTGGGCCAGCATTCCACGTTTCTCCCCTTCAATGGGAGGAAGACTGGACCCAGGTCCCGACCTTGGTTACACCTGCCAGATTGCCAGAAAGAAAAACAACCATCTGGGTGCCTCTGTGGGGAGTGGCCACAGGGGCAGCAAAACGGACGCTGGCTGCAGGGAGCTGGGGTTCAACACTTGATGGAAGGGCGTCCAGGCTGGAGACATGGAGGGGACCAGGGAGTGAGAACAGGGCCTCTTCACACAGTTGGATCCAAGAAGGGGCTGTTTGCTCTCAAACAAAGAACAGGAATCTCCTTGCCTGGCTTGAGCCAGGTCACAAAATTTGGCTGGTCTCTTTTCCTCCTAGTGATGATATCAGAGCCAAGAAACTAATATGGGCTGGGTGCGGTGGCCCATGCCCGTGTCCCAGTACTCTGGGAGGCCAAGGCTGGAGGATCGCTTGAGCCTAAAAGTTCAAGATCAGTCTGGGCAACGTAGTGAGACCCTCATCTCTGGAAAAAATAAAATAAGATAATCTAGTAGATGGACTTGGCTATTGCAGGCTCAGGGGCGCATTCACAAAGCTGCCGCCCGGGGTGAAGCCAGGCCGCAGGCAGCGTGGACAAGGTCCGGAGGACCGCGGGGAAGGGCCGGAGTACCCCGGGTCACGCAGGGGACGACGCGCGCGGGGGACGTGGGACAGGCAGAAGCCGGCGGCGGGCCAGGGAATGGGGAGCAAGCGACCGGCTTTGACCCGCCCCAATCCAGCTGTCCTATTGGCACGGAGGTTCTTCTTCCGGCCTAGGGGAAAACCACATGGACCGACAGCGCCCGCAGCGCGCCCCGCGTCGGGGGCTGCGATCCGCTTCTGCGGTGGATGCCACCGGGGCGTGAAGACCTGCGCACACTGGGCTGCAGCCCTCCCGCCCTTCCCCCAGGCCCCGCGGCGCCCACGTGACTTCCCGGGCTTGCCTCTCTTCCCCCGCCGCGGCCCCGCGAGCGAGATAGGGACCCGGGCACCAAATCCGTCCCGCACGGCGGCAGTGCGCAGGCGCGGAGCGTGGTGTCCCGCGCCGTTCCCGGCCTGCCCCGCGCACGCTGACGTCGCGCAGCC